TACACTGTCAATGAATAATTAATGTTGGGTGTGATCACAATAATTGATTTGTAGGTGTGGTCATCTGAAGTGAAAAGTTACCCAGATTAGAGAAGAGACTCGGTTGGTCTTTCCTTTGGCATAGGAACCCGTCACAGTCTGGCAGCGAACTCTCTGTTACTCAAAATGAGCGGCTGCTGCTCTTCTTGGCAATGCGAGTCTTGTGGGCGCGAGCTCTTGCATTGGAATAAGAAGGTACGGTACATACACTGTAGTTTTTGTCAGTACTGAATAATCACAATTTGTTAGTGAAAAGAGAGAGGCCCTAGTATGACTTTAGGACTTAGCATTGTATTTTATCTCTAGCCATTTTAGTTAATGTCAAAATGGCTGCAATAAACAACAAACCGATTACCTTTTACGGTTATTTTTATTGACAGAACTGCTCTGCCTGTGAAGGAGTGTTTTGTTTGAGGTGTATCCAGGGGGTGGATCCTAAACAATGCGCCAAGTGCACGATATTCAACTCTTCCTTCATACAGCGACAGCAACTAGAAAACCTCTCAGTAAATGACTTAAAATTTTATTTCGAAGATAATCAGCTACCGATACCAAGTGTAAGGAGTAAAGAACTTCTCATCGAGGAACTATTGATTAATCAAGCAAAGGTGCTTTCGCAAAGGGCACTAGAATCACAGGAAATCCTTCAAGATCCTTCTGTACTTGGAGAACTTTATTTTCTACCCAGCAGAAGAGCAAACCCTTCCGCTAGTTCTAGTCTTCCTCACGTCAGCAGTGAAGTAGGAAACCCAAACAAAACAGTCCAAGAACCAAGTCCAAAGGAAGCAAAACCAGTATGTTTGCACACAATGATATTATTATGTTATAAAGTATCACATATTTTGAGTTTTGAGCAATTTATGTCATTCATATATTCCTTAATATCATATATTCTCTATTATCATATACTTTCTATTATCTATATATCTAATCAGTGCAAGCGCATTGTTGATTCATGTTTTATTTCTGCACGTCTGCAGAGTTTTGTTCCTGGTCTAGTAACAAATATCACCGACCTCACATCTCCCGACCAGATTGACTTGCTCCCCGTTAAGATCCTCAAAATAATCCTACAAAGAAACTGCATAAACTATAAAGGCTGTGTAGAGAAAGAGGAGCTTAAAGATAGAGTCAAAAGGCTCTGGAAAGCAAGAGAGAAAGCAAAAGCTCTTGAAGACAAAATTGCTGGAGATTTAGGTACACGAAATGATTCAATTTGTTTCATAGTTCTTCTCTCCCACTCTCTATCTGACCTTCTTTCTCTCTCTTTTTATAATTTTTTCTCTATAATGTATAGATGCAGAAAATGAGTTTTTGTGCAAGATATGTATGGATGAACCTGTTGACTGTGTACTACTTGAGTGTGGGCACATGCTAAGTTGTGTCAAGTGTGGTAGAAAACTATCAGAATGTCCTGTTTGTCGTCAGTTTGTGTCTCGGGTTGTGCATGCTTTCAAAGTATAAGTGATTATTATATGGAAAACAATGTAATAATTGATGTGTTCTTTAATTATATATTAATCAATATAAATTCATTAAATTTATGTTTTAAAGCTGACAATGTATATTGACCATTAGATTACTTATTATATAATAAAGACATAATGATTATTATTATAGTGTTAAGTTATATCACTTCATCTGGTACCAGATGAATTANACTTGATCCTTCTTTTTCGTAGCCACACTTTGTAAAGATGATGCTACTTGCAGCATTGTCAGCGAAAATATATGAGACTGGAGTAATACCTTTAGCAAGCAACTTTTGAGTTATGTCTTCCACAACTATACTACCAAGTCCTTTACCACGATGCTCCTCTAACGTGTGGAAGTGGAAAAGTTGGCCAATTTCAGAGGACACTATCCAGGACACAAGTTGATTTGGTTGCACTGTTGTGTCATAAACTGCAGCAGTTGAACCATTGGTAATGTAGTTTCTCATTCTGTATTTCATTTTGTCGGATTTTGCTGCTGGTGTCCACATTGAAACAACAGACTCAATGTCAGATGAATGAATGCTGTCAGCCTTGTATCCTTCAGGAACTGATCTAAAATAAGTTTTTGAAATAGTTTTTATTAAAAATTAGTTGCCATTATACTTTGTCACTTCTTGTACACTGGCAGTGTTAGCTTCAACTTTGTAAATGTATCGAAAGAAAGGTTTCGTTAAATGACACTTTGGTAGAACCTTTTCCAAGTTTACTTGCTTCAGAAGTTCTTCATTGCCTTTTATAGAAAGTACAAAAACCTTGATTATGCATTAAAAACATGATTACCGACTAATATTGTGTTGTTTTGAATAAAGGAGTCCAAAATCAGAGCAGTTTTAACATTATCTGTACTAAATATGTAAATACCTATTTATTAAAAGCTTGAAATGAATGAACTACTAATGGGGAAATACTATTAGCAAGAGGGGATATTAGTTAGCACCAATAGCTGAGTTCTGAGAAAGGTACTGTGATTTTGTAAGGCAAAAGCTTTTGGCAAATACTATATACTAGAATTGACATACTTTTTATCCCTTCATCAAATGTTAATATTACAGTTGTTACAGGTAAGCAACTGTCAGCAAATAGCTTTGGATTTTGTTCTGCTCTTAAAATCCCTTTCAATCCTCCATGTATGATCTATAGATAGATAGATAGATAGATAGATAGATATATCATTCCTTAATCTATAAATGATTGCAGGGTGGGGTATTTTTAGTAGTTTTACCCTACATTATGAAATACCGTACAGCTCCAAATTTTCATCGGTCAAAATTTTCGTCAAATTCATCAGGAATTTTTGCTTGATGAAATTTTTAACACGAAATTTTTGTTCCACGTGGGTAGTATGCAGATTAATAACAAAAATCACGGAAATTTTATTGACAGAATTAATTTTAGCAATAAATTAAGATTTTGACTGACAAAAATTTGGAGCTATACAGTAATCATCTTAGGCTAGCTTAAATAAGTGGGTATCTATGGCTACTGAGATCATAATCTAGTCTTGTATATAAAAGATAATCACCCAATCCACTGCAATAGGAAAATTAATTTAGGCCATGAAAATTCAAAGTTTTAATATATAATTAAACTAATCCCAAAAATGATAATAGTTTAAAGTTAAATTACCCTAAGTCTACCTCCAATGTATCTGGCCAATACTTGTATAAGAAATCCTTCAGTTCACCTCTCTTTTCTGTCTCTATTTCCACAAGCTCCATCAGTAACAATAAGATCACACCAGACACACCTCTGAACAAAGCTCAATTGCATTCCTGATACCAATGGAATGCAATTACTCGTGTTGTCTACCTCTGATCCTTGGCTTCACTTCAGCCCACACCTTCAAATCAATATACTGCTATTAATGTGTTCTTTAATGATATATAAATCAAAATAAAGTTCATTAAAATTTTTGTCTTAAAGCTGACAATTATTGACCATTAGATTACTTATTATAATAAAAACATATAACAATTATTATAAAAAGTTGGAGTGCTAAGTTATATAACTTTATCTGGTACCAGACGAACTAAACTTGATCCTTCTTTTTCGTAGCCACACTTTGTAAAGATGATGCTACTTGCAGCATTGTCAGCGAAAATATACGAGACTGGAGTAATACCTTTAACAAGCAACTTTTGAGTTATGCCTTCCACAACTATACTACCAAGTCCTTTACCACGATGCTCTTCTAACGTGTATAAGTGGAAAAGTATGCCAATTTCAGAGGACACTATCCAGGACACGAGTTGATTTGGTTGCACTTTTGTGTCATAAACTGCAGCAGTTGAACCATTGGTAATGTAGTTTCTCATTCTGTATTTCATTTTGTCGGATGTTGCTGCTGGTGTCCACATTGAAATAACAAACTCAATGTCAGATGAATGAATGCTGTCAGCCTTGTATCCTCCAGGAACTGATCTAAAAATACCTTTTTGAAATAGTTTCTATTAAAATTAGTTGCCATTATACCTTGTCACTTCTTGCACACTGGCAGTGTCAGCTTCAACTTTGTAAATGTATCGAAAGAAAGGTTTAGTAATATGACACTTTGGTAGGACCTTTTCCAAGTTTACTTGCTTCAGAAGTTCTTCAGTGCCTTTTATTAAAACCACAAAATCTCAATTATGTATTAAAAATATGATTACCGACAAATATTGTGTCACTTTGAATAAAGGAGTCCAAAATCAGAGCAGTTTTAACATTATCTGTACTAAATACGTAAATACCTATTTATTAAAAGCGTGGAATAAATCAACTACTATTGGCTGGGGAATTAATACTAGTTTACACCTATAGCAAACTAGTTTTGAGAAAGGTACTATGATTTTGGGCAAAAAATGTTGGCAGCTGATCTAGTTGTTGGCAAATCATGTATACTAGAATTGACATACTTTTTATCCCTTCATCAAATGTTAATATTACAGTTGTTACAGGTAAGCAACTGTCAGCAAATAGCTTTGGATTTTGTTCTGCTCTTAAAATCCCTTTCAATCCTCCACGTATGATCTATTAGCAAAAATAGATAGATGTATCTATTACCTTAAGGAGACAATTGTTTGCGGGTATTTAATTTAGCGAATTTTAGCGATTTAAAAAAATCGCTAACTTAAGTCCGCGCTAATTTTAATTTCTTCATTAAAAGTGGGTGTGGTCGCAGTGAATAAAATGGCGGCCGTCAGCAAGTCTGAGCTTACTTGCAGCAAACGGTCAGCAAGATAAAACTAAACTGCTGTCCAAAGACTTCTCTAGCAGTTAGCCTAGGTTAACAAAGCAGATAACAATCTCCTTCGTTCAGTGACTGCTTCTAACTGTAAGCAAGATAACTTTACATGTTAATGGCTGCAGAGTCAGTGATGAAGCAATTTAAGCAAGATTAATGCAACAAGATCTACTGTACTAGTGTATTTAGACTTGTGCAATTGCTTTGCTTGCTCATACATGTAAATCACAGCACATAATCTATGGCTTGCTTAGGCTCACCCCTTTAATTCTTCTAGAAGTTATTAATACCAAATGATCAAAAACGCTAAATTAAGTACCAGCCAAATGTCAGTTTCATGAAAATCGCTAAAATAAGTACACGCTAATAATTGTCTCCTTAAGGTATTCCCTAATCTATAAATGATCATAGGGTGGGGCATTTCACTATGTTATGTAATAACCCCAAACTTTCTGCATATAGGGTATCTATGGCTATTGAGATTATAATCTAGTCTTGTATATGAAGGATAATCACCCAATCCACTAGTCTCGCGCGAGACTACCAATCCACTGCACTACCAAAATTAATTTAGGCCATGAAAATTCAATATTAACCAATTCCAAAAGTGATAATAGTTTAAAGTTAAATTACCCTAAGTCTACCTCCAATGTATCTGGCCAGTACTTGTATAAGAAATCCTTCAATTCACCTCTCTTTCCTGTCTCTATTTCCACAAGCTCCATCAATAAGTACGGTACAATAACCCTACTCAGGGACACACCTCTTATTCTAAGTTAGCTGGTATGGCTTCACTTTCAGCCACACCTTCAAAAGAAGATGGCCATTGAGATTGATCCAGCCAAGAGACAAGGGCTAAAGAATTTTTTGGACAAGCACTGGCCAGATACATTAGAAGTACCTCATTAATTTATTATTTATTATAAAGTTCTATGTTGCATTTATAGATTGTACGTGCTCTAGCATTAGGTGAGGATTATGATATCCATCTATTTGCTGATTGTTGGCCTCATGTAACAACACTGATACTAGCTTATAATGAAGGCATTGCTAAAAGTATGGACAAGTGAATTAGATAAGTCTGATTATAAATGATGTCTTCCGATAGAGGTTTTTATATTTAGTACTGATGCAGCAAAAGGTGTTTCAACACTTGAGAAATCAGGAATTATCACTGACTTCAAGATTTCAGCAGTTCTTGGTAAAAAATTTACATTTTACTTGTAGTAGCTAGCTCAAAATGCCCTCTATCATATAGTACAGGGCATTTTGTCAAAGTTGCTCGAGCAGAGTTTTTATTGTTATACCTTTTTAAAGGTTATTTTGTACTTACGAGCATTTTATTATTATTATTATTATTATTATTAATAAACTTTACAGCACAGAATATTAAAACAAGCCAATTTTTTTAAAAGCCCTGTATGTATCTGCATGTAGTTAACTTCATGTCTCACCATCAGTATATCCTGCTGATATCCATAGCATAAAATCATCCATTTTATTCCTTAGTGATATTACCCAATAGGATTTTAATGTTAATCTATGCATTATTTTAAGGTGCTTACGGAATTGTAGAGAGGATAATGAATGAAGTTGTGTCTGATCCTCTTTATGTTGGACAAACGTATAATAAATCTCCTGAGGTAGCAAGATTCATATACAATCCTTCATCAGGAACAGGAATCAAGTTAGTCCATTAGTGTTATTGCTATTAACTGCCTTTTTATTTGCAGGAAACCTCTTCCTTCAGGATACAGGTTTGATGCTATTCATTCATCTGACATTGAGCCTATTGCATCAAAGTGGCATCCTTATGGTGGATTAAAGAGGCTTATGATACACTACATTACCAATTATCCAAATATTGCAGTCTATGATACAACAAGGGAGCCTCCTCGACCAATTTCCTGGATGACAGGATCAGGGCTATCTGTACTATACCACTTGTACACAGTGGAAGAATATCGTGGTAAAGGATTAGGAACTTTAGTGATACAAGAAATGACAGAGAAATTATTAGCTATGGGAATTACTCCATTGGTATACATAGAATTGGACAACAAGCCATCCCAATCGTTATTTACAAAATGTGGATATATTAGAGCTGGATCTGTTGTAGCTTTTATGGATGCTTTGCAGTAAAAATATTTTTTAAAACCCAGCTAATTTAAATAAATGATTTCAGAAATGGATCTGGTAACTTTCAATTTTGTTACATTTTGAAGGAAGGAGCGCTAATGCATATGGGGTGGGGCTTTATAAATTGATCTAATGTCATCAGTGGTCACCAGTTTAGTATAAAAAGCCCGCTAGTTCAGGCTCTGACCATCATACAAAACTTTTCTAGAAGCAAGCAATGGCTACTGGATATAAAAGATAACCTCTGTTACTCTGCGAGCCAACCATCACAATGATGACTGACTATTCCTCACCGATTCAAGACATGCAGCCTGTGCGGGGGATTGCAGAGGCCAAATCGCTAGAGTTTCTTCAAATGCGCACTGGGTAAGAGAAATAGATCTAGTATAAAGAGCTACATACAACAGATCTGTTTTTTAAGGAAAAAAAAAACAGTCAATCCTTCTCTTTTTATAGTCGCTACGATGCTGATGATACCAGTACCAGTGCAGAATTCCTCTATAAACATTGGCTTGATGCATTAGAGGTATAACTTGCATTCTAATGTCATGCATAAAATAATCATCTAAATATTTTAGATCATACGTGGAGGACTGAGTGATGGGCCATTGAGAAAAGAGCATAATGTCAAGCTATTTGTTGATAATGACAGAAAGTTTGCAAAATTAACTTACAACGAAGGCAGTGAGACATGTAAGTTTGTAATTAAAAGACATAAATGTCATGTTCATAATCATTATGGTGATTAATTAATTTAGGTATGTTTATATTCAGTACTGAATGTCCAAAAGAACTGAGTTCCACTGAATTCTCACTTGGTATATATAAATCAAAATCTCAGTACTTAGCATAATTATCTTTTACATTTTTATATAGTTCATATTTGTACGGAAAATGTGAAGAAAGTGCAAGATTCTCCTTTTCAACTAACAAATGCAACGAGACTCAATGCTGTGAAGTATTTCTACACAGGGGCCAACTCACTGAGGCCTCTTCCTGCTCTTCCTAAAAAGTACAGGGTAGATGTCATCCATCAATCTGAAGTCAATTTCATTGTTTCGAAATGGTCCCTGACTAATAACTCTGATAAAGCAAAACGACTAATGAAGCATTTCATTTCAAGTTACCCAAACGTTGCAGTCTACGACACAACAGTGGAACCTGCTCAACCAGTCTCCTGGGCTACATCATCAGGATTGGGTATAATATATAACCTGCAAACACTAAAAGGCCATCAAGGGAATGGACTTGGTACAGTCGTAGTACAAGAACTAACAAAGAAGTTGCTAACAAAAGGAGTTACTCCAATTGCATACATAGAGATTGGTAATGACGCATCAATCAACCTCTTTAATAAGTGCGGATATGAAAGAGTTGGATCTGAAGGATACTGCTTCTACTCATAAAATAGAACCAACTAACTTGCACTAATCACGTCTATGTTTACATTATAATTTAATTTCTGCGTGCATATATCTGATAAATATTTTCTGGGAAAATTTTATAGAGAATAATTATAATACCTTTATATGCCAAAGCATGCACACTAATAACTAAATGCTTCCAAAAAGTTTCAAATCACAATGAATTACATCAATAGGCTGTGATAATGTGACTTGTTATGCCCACAGTGTCAGAGATACATCCAGTCAAACTATTCTTTAATATAATATTATAGCGGGCAAGTATACACGTACATACTAATATGCATAATGGTATGAAGCATTCCCAGAATTAGTAAAAATAGAATGTCATGCATCCAAACAGGACTGACTGTAAGCATTTTTTGGTCTGTTGTAATGCCAAGATTAAAATTAAATAACTGAATTTGTGCCAAATAACTGTGAATTTGTGCCATTACATAGAAATAGACACAATTCATTGCAGCATCAACACCGGAAAGTGACCTAATAGTGTCATACATAATACAATCATGTCACCATCAGTGTATAAATATGGTAATCACACACAAACCTGGTAGCACTGACTTGTGGGCTCTGTGTACAAACACTTTGAAAGATTCTTGGAATACTGGGCCATCAATTCCTTTACTTGCCATAATGACTACTGATTCATTCAGGACAATTATCAAGCAATGCTTTAAAGTTAAATACTTTAAATTTTGTCTAGTCAACATTGCAGCAGCATTTTGCTGAGGAATAATTTATTTTATACATTCATGAAATCTCAAGTAAAGTTGTGTTAGACAAGAAAAATAAACAAGCATGACAAGTGAGTGTGTACAATTAGAAGAAAATGTCGTGTTAAGTTCAATGCAAATGGTTTCATGCAAATCACATCACATTTGCTAAAAGTGGACACCCACACACACACACAGTGAGTAAGTGAGTGAGTGAGAAAAATCACAAGAGCCTTGCTATCTAATAAGGATGATCCCTCCGTTCATACCTACCATCATTCCTATGAAGTAAATAAGAATATAATTATTCCATCAATAAAATACATTTGATTTATTTATAATTGTATTAGAAATGGTATAAAATCCACCAAGTGCAGTAATTTTTCACAATCACCGATACCTTATAGCGCTTTAATTTGGCGGAGTTTTATTTTGACAATTAGTAGTTTGCAAGGAGAATCACCAATATTAAAACCGTAAATCATTAATGCACATGTGCACAAAAATCACCAAAGTAAAAAATACCAATTAGAATTTTTATGACAAAATTGCCATAATAAAGCGTTACAAGCTGTATAGTAACATTTCTCACCTGTGCCTATCAGGACCCCCTCCTCCTCCACGACCTCTACCACCGCCATACCCTCCTCTACTTCCTCCATAGTCTCGGTCACCTCCCCAGCCTCCTCCCCTCCCTCGATACCCTCCCCCTCCTCCTCCTCTGTCTCCTCCTCTCCATCCTCCTCCTCTACCACCTCCTCCTCTGCTGTCAAAACCACCTCCTCCCCCACGATTAAAATTAGCTGAAAAAAATATAGAGTACCATATAGTAACACATACATTGTACATGTATAGCTGCAAATTTTCAGGGATTAAACTCTCACGGAAAAAACATTCCAAGATTAGATTTCTGTGGGTTTTAATTAGAGGAGAGGTAGGCAAATTATGCTTCAATGTTTGCCTACATGTACATGCTTTTAGGCTCTGCCCCAAATTTCATCCTATTATGCCAATTATGCACATAGTTTGAGCTTTACTCAAATATCAATTATCAAGTTACATGTACATGCATCCGTTATAATTGCAATATTATAATAATGACAGATTCTGAAGATGCTTCCAGACTTTGAGTCACTGCAAAATAGCACAGCCTCAGCCACTGGACTCGCCACACTTGTATGGCTTGAGATGAGTATTAAGCGGTTGGGTTGTGTTACTAGTACTTAAAATCATGTGGTCAGCGAGAAATTTTTGACCCATAATGCCAGCATAATAATTCGCCATAATTATTATGCTCCAAATTATGCTAGCATAATTTGCCTAGCCCTAGTTTTAATTCTGCAAACTTTAACAAAACTACAATATCAGTGAAAGTTCAGCCCCTCAAAACTCCAAAGTTTCCAGCCATACAGTACACATATGAAAGACTTACAGATTGGTCTGGGTGCCTTACATCTATTACATTCCATTCGTCTGGCGAAATTAAGATTATTACAACTGAGAACATAAAAAATATAATAATTGACTAAAAAAGAAAAACACAACAAACTTTGGATCCGGGCAATGCCAATCGCCTCCATCATCACCACCGCCTCCTCCAAAACTTCCTCCTCCTCGCCCACGTCCCCTACCGCGGTCACCTCCTCGACCACGGTCACCCCCTCCCCGACCACGGTCTCCTCCTCCCCTTCCTCGACCACGCCCACCAAAAGAATCGTCAGGGTTGATAAAATACGAGGCGTACTCTACCTTCATCTTGTTCCCATTTAACTCGTGGTCTAAATAAACGCAAATGTAGTCAATTTTATGTGATTGATAGGATTAAAGTATATACTGTACATGTACTAACTGTACAATGTTATAATGTACATCTTTTCAAAATTAAAGGGACACGTTCACGGAAATAGAATGCACACGTTACTGTAGAGGAAGTAAACATTAAATTGGGCGTGCAACAGATCATTAATTAATAGTTATGACACGTGTTTAGACACGTGTAGAGAGTAGAGACAGCAATCAGTCGCAGAACCAGGAGTAGGCATCTGTAGAACACTTCTCTCGAACAGAATTAGCTCTTTTGCCACCCCAAGATACTCTTTTTAGTGAAGAAACACCAGGAATATTTACAAGTAGCCACTCGAGTAGCCATTTTGCCTTAATTATTAGGGGCGCGGCCGCACATTATGAATAGTTATCAACACTAAACGTCATCATTAATGATGTCATCTTGAAAAACAGGCCAGTTTTTCAAGATGACGTGCTTCCGTGCGTGTGTCCCTTTAAGAAATAGAAGCCAGGCTTCTTTTTCCTATCATTAATTTGTACACACTCTGAGGGATCTCCTATACTTTAGACAGTAAAGGTGGATTTAAGCCCGATTTACATAGTGATGCATGGTCTTGTGTTGCAATCAGAAGTGCTGTATAAACGAATGGCAGGGTACATCAATACATCGAGAACCAAGATAGTTTATGAAGCTATTCTGATGGTGTGACATGTGTCACTATTTGTTTCTGCAGTACTTCCGGTCGTAACGCAAGTACACAAAAACAGTCTGTTTTTATGCAAACCAGTCTTAAAATTGCAAGATTTACATAAGGTACTTGATAAGAGGAAGTGAGTGCTGTATAAACCAATGGCCACTGTTTAGATAGCACAAAAGTAGAGATACATTCCAACTAACATTATGTAAATGATGCTGATGGTTTATACAGTGCTTCCTGTATGTTAATTCCGCAATGCAAACAAGGATTTCAAGGAAGAATGACAACTAATGAAAGATATTAAATCATCTTATCATCAAAGGAATCCAAGAATGAGGCAGAGTCAAATTAAGTAGATTACTCCACACTAGCTAGAATACGTGACACGAGTACCTAGAAGAGTGATGTCAGTTTTAATTAGATACTACGCTACATGTCAGTGTATGTCAAGCATTATAACGCACAAGTTGATACATGTACATTGTACTGTACTGTTTTTATATCATCAATTGACTTCATTGCACACTCTATCTTCATCTTGCTCCCATTCAACTGATGGTCTAAATAACTCTTGCAGTCGTTTATGTGATTGAGAGGATTAAAGTACCTTAAAGCCACTTATTTATAAGTAGACACATATTTGCAATTTGTTATGGTATTGATTTAACGTGTACTAATTTTTGCAATTTAGCTCATTTTTTCAATTAATAACTGTTAATAAACCTAAATTGTTAATACCTTAAGCCTACTATTTTTAGCGTCTACTAAATTTAGTGATATTAGCGAGAGAGCTTTAAATCGCTAAATTAAATAGACGCCAAAATAATTATTATTCATTATAATGGTTATTATTTATAGTTAATTTGGTTAAAAACGCTAAAATTAGTAACGCTAAACATGACTTTTGCTGATTTCGCTAAAATAAATTAGTAGACGCAAATAATAGTAGGCTTAAGGTAAATGCGAGTACTAATTTTTGCAATTTTAAAGCCACTTGCAAAAAACGCAAAAAATTAGTACTCGCAAATAATAGTGGCCTTAAGGTATGTACTTTACACATACTAACTGTACAATATGTACCATTGTACATCTTGTTAAATACAAATGTGGAAGCCAGGCTTATTTTTACTATCTTTAATTTGTATGTATTCTGAGGGATGTCCTATACTTTATATAGAAATTGACAGCAAGAAATGACAGTAATACATTAATATGTAGATTGTAAGATACAGTGAAACCTGTCCTAAAGGTCACCTGAATAATGAGGCCACCTCTCTATTACAGCCATAAGCCAAAATCCCGTACTAAATGGCTGTATTACAGAGGCTGATCTGTAATGCAGCCACCTGCATAATCAGGCCATTTAAAACTGGCCCAAGGGTGAACGGATTAAGCAGGTTTCACTGTACTGTAGCAGGCACATTAATTCACAGACTAAAGCATCTCTATTATTCTCAACAATCAAAATGACGATACTACTCAACAACCACAATTGTAGTGGGACCAAGATTCCTTTGAACATTATACCAAAGCAAAGAAAATTAAACAAAAATGTCACGATGAAACAGAGTATATCCTGGAATAGAGGGGATATGAGATCAGATCAGGAAAGAAGGCAATTAATTATAAGAATTTCAAGCCAAAGACTAATCTAATTATCAAAGCTACGAGCTATGAGAAGGAATGAGAGAATGATGTAGAGCAGTCAAGATAGAGTAACTATGATATGAGGAAGAGCAAAGAGTAGAGGTGGGAGAGTGATGTAGGGCAATTAAGCTGATTAGCATTGATATGTGTAGGATCAAAACTACCGTACTTACAAGTAATGCCAGTTTTAATTAGACACTATGCTAGATGTGGAGTGTATGTCAAGCATTATAATGCACAAGTTGATATATGTACTGTACTGTATTTATATCATCAATTGACTTCATTACATACTCTACCTTCATCTTGCTCCCATTTAACTGTATTTATTATAATTATTATTCTGAGAGATCCCATATACTTTATATAGGGAAATGGCACCAAGAAACGACAGTAATACAAGTACATGTAGATTGTAAAATACTGTACCATGCATGCACATTTATTCACAGACTAAGGCATCTCTGTTATTCTCATTAATCAAAATGACAGTACCCCGATTGTATTAGAAGGGCTGAGATTCCCTTGAACATTATGACAAGGCAAAGAAGCTCAAACTAAGAAATGTTACAATGAAACAGAGAATGCCCTGGGGGAGATATGACATCAGTGCCGCCAGGACACAGGGCAATTAATTATAAGGATTTCAAAGAAGGAAATGAAAGACATTAAATCATCTTATCATGAAAGTTATGAGTCAAGAGATGGAATCCAAGAATGAGGTAGAGTCCAGTTAAGTAGATTACTCCACGCTAGCTAGAATACAGTACATGACAGAGTACCTATAAGAGTGATGTCAGTTTTAATTAGATACTATGCTACATGTCAGTATATGTCAAGAATGATTAATAACATTACTTCTACAAGCTGATAAACAAGCGTCATAAATTATATCATACATTGTCAAATGACGTCATTGTTTATGATCCCACAGGTGTACTATATTTTGGGAGCCATACAAAATACATTTTGCTTCAGGGAAATGCCACATGGCGTATCCAAGTTGAGTCTTAATCAAGAAAAACAATTAACACAAAATAAATGTTCAGGATTAAGGATATAATGGATGGACTAATATGGGGATTTTGTGGGAGGAGAAACAGGAAGGAAGAAACAAAATGTCAAGAAATGGAAAAATTTGGCCATTGAGGACTGGGTTTTCAATGCAAAAAATAAAATAATTTTTTATTAACTACATGTACATTGTACAGTACATGTACGACATATACACATGTACATGTATGCAACCAAACAACAAATGTTGTAAGTGCATACATGTACATGTACATGTAGCTTACCATTCAAAATTATGCAGTGAAAATTTAAAATTATACAGCTTACCATTCAAAAATTTGATTGCTCCATCAGCCCCTTCAGTTGATACATAAGTCACCATACATTCACCTTTGAACTTCCGCTGCTTATCCTCATACATCTTGATCATAAAATGGCCGGTTCGATGATCCTCCTACGGAAAATTGAAAATCAAACAAAATCAAGTCTTATATCCGTATAGTGAGAAATTTCGGATGGAGTTAATTTGGCAAATAGGAACATTTTGGCGACTGATTGGCAGGTTGTAATTTGGCAAATTTGTGGCCACGTGCTATTGAGCATGCGCATAATGGCTCAAAATGGCTGATTTTATTTTGGCAAATGGCTATCAAAATAATAATTTAGCCAAATTTAACTACCTCCAAAATTTCCTGCCATATGAGATCATACTCACTTTGATGTTGCCTACTGAGCTGAAAACATCTCGAATGTTTTCAAAAGTCGCATCGAGTGCTATTCCAGTCACAAAGACAGCATCGTCTCTTGTTTTCTTCACCATACCACCACCACCACCACCTCCTTAAGAGAGAGAGAGAGGGAGAGGGAGAGAGAGAGGGAGAGAGAGAGAGAGAGAGAGAGAGAGAGAGAGAGAGAGAGAGAGAGAAGAGAGGGGGGAGTGTGGGGAGAAATGTAGAGGAAACAGTATATCAAATTACACATTCCAATTTTAGAAACAAATGATACAGTACAAAAAACAAATTTCCTTAAAATTGCTGTGACAACACCCTTTTTTTTTGCAAAACACTTATATAAGAAATGTCAATAAAACTGCAGAAAAAGAGACACATTTGTAGCATTACTGCACCAGAAAATAACTTTTCCCTTTTTATATAAACACCGTATTATAACAATTTTCAGTGGAACTTCAAATAATTAACCAACAATTATTATTATTATTTATTATTATTATTTATTATTATTAGTATATTAATGAATACTTCATTACCTGAGTTATACCTGTGTTGTATTGTAACCATTGACAACCAGACCGTTTATAACACAATTGAGATGAATATCATAATGAGAGAGGGAGAGGAGGCACACACCGTAACACATTATTATTATTATTATTATTATTATTATTATTTATTATTATTATTATTATTATTATTATTTATTATTATTATTATTATAAAATATATGTAACTATATTGAACCATTTAAACCAACAGAAAAGTATCTCCAATGTTTAATTACATGCGATTTTAAGCAACAGCTGAGCAAACCATTTAGGTATGGTTCTCATATGCTTAAGCAATACAGTTTATTATTGTAAGGAAGATGCTAAACAAGTCAATTTCTGTGACTCACTAACCCAAACTCTGTTTAATGATTACAGAACCAATTAACATATACGCAGTATTCTTGCCAGGATTTTGATGCAAGTAGTGGCAATGGCAACAATAAATTATTACGCTACTAATAATAATAATAATAATTAAATTGATAACTGGCGCACGTGTGAAAAAGCAAACACAGAGATTAACAAGGTTTCTACCATGCCTCCTTGGAACCGACCAATGCTGAAATTGCTCAGTTATTCTCCATATTAACCTAGCTTGTTAAATTATAAACCCTAGGGCATTGAATTAAATGACTATACTATGATACCATACAGACTGTCTAGTGTATATTGAATCCCAGTGGTCTTTAGTGTCAAGTTCCTTGCAAACAAAATTTGAAAATTGAAGCCTCCTCCTCCCCCACACTTTTCCCCTTGACTTAGTTTAATTAAAAAAAAACAATCGTGTAAAACACTCCACCTTCTTAAATTAATGTCACCTTTAAAGCTTTATAATATCTTTAAACAATTACTTAAAAGATAATTACCTTTTGCTATTCATTATGCATGTATGAACCAATCAAGAAATCTACCATTTTCTACATGCATAATTCTGCTAGCAATAAACACTTAATAATTATATACCTTGATTAACTACTTGGTACAATGACATCATCACATTACATCACATTACATCATATTACATCATACAAGAGCTACTCACCCTCCATCTCTTCCTTCCGATTGATAGCCTCCTCTCCCTCCGCCACGCCCTCCTCTGTACCCGCCGCCACGCCCACCGCCATTGCTCCCTCCCCGATAACCACCGTACCCTCCTCTGTCCCCGTATCCACCGTAGCCCCCTCTACCACTGCCACCACCGCCGCCGCCATAGTCTGAACGAGGAGGTGGGGGAGGGTAGTCATAATGACCTCCAGGAGAAGGATACTAAAGACAAAAAAAAATTAACTAAAATTACATAAAATGTACTTTAACTAGGTGAATGTAAACATTGTGGGGTCGAGCATGAGCAAGAGATTCATATAATGATCTATTATTCTTTTGTATTTGTGTTTGTGTTAGGTGTTTTTATATTCAGACACAATTGATTATTCATCGATCACGTTCTCGTCATCATCTAGACATAAATATTAAACAAACATACTAAACAAACTGTCTACAGCCAGACAAGACAGAGGGGATTAATGTAAGACTCCTGTAGATTATAACATAATATTCATCCAAAGTCCTTCTCCTTCATTCTTTATCTGACTCAGTTGCTATTCTCTCCTTATCCTCTTGTTATGATTTCTTTTAGGGCAAGTTATATCAAGAGTACATAATACCTAAAGAGAGTATTGAATGGCCCTATACAAGCTGCTGCATGAGAGCGTATTTGCTCAAAGTCACAATCCACATACTCCAGTATACCTTATCAATGAATATAATTATCGCGTAGACACTGAGTTGCCATTGTCACGAGTTGGCAAGTGCTTGGGGCACAAACTCCTGGATACTAGCAGGGCTGCCTTTGTAGTTCATCTTTCCAGCCTTCTTTCAAGTTCCTTTCTTGTATTGGAAGAGGTTGCCAAGTTTTTAAAAGCTAAGGGCCAGATAATGTTGCCACATGGTTGATCACGTGATATGGTAAAAATACTGGAGTATGCGGATTGTGACTTTGAGCAAATACGCCCTCATGCAGCAGTCTTCTATAGGGCCGTTCAATACTCTCTTTAAATATTATGTACTCTTGGTTATATTCATCTACTCAGTTTGTTTCCTAAATTCTGGCTCTTTACTCCATCCTATTTATGAAAGGGCTTTCAACTTTTATTCTGAGACTTATCGACCTTCTTTCTGCGCTTCTCTCTATTAATTAACTTTATAACAGTATACTAAATTAATATCGTATTTTTCCGTTCACAAACAAGACGTAACGCAAATAGACCCAGACAAATTAGTATGGGTCTCGCTCATGCTCAACCCAATTAATACATAATTATATATCACACTACCGTAGGGTGCCTTTTTTTCAAGGGCTGTAAATTTTGCAGATTTCATAATTTTTTGAAGATTCGCAATAATCACTTCCGTGAAAATCAAATTATCACGGTAAAAGATATGGCAGACGATGGGATAAATTCGAAAAAAAATTAAACCCGCAAAATAGATTTTTAGGCAAATTCATGAAATTTACAGCCTTCAAAAAAGGTGGCCTCCGATATACGGTACATGTACATGTACAGCATGGCAGTAATTGATAGGAATCCACTCAAATTTTATAAATTTCTACAAAATTAACATAAGTGTACCTGTATATGCATTGGAAAATGTACTGTAAATGTACATTTAATAAAAGTGGAGGGCTCTGTCCTTGCTATTTTTGACAATTATAGCACATGGTCTTTTTGGCCAGATTTTGGAGCAATTTTAAAATTCGCAAAAAATCCAATTTTGATCGGAATCAGCTCAAACTTGCTACACAACATAAGAACATGTATATGCATCAGAAAAAATTATAAAAGTGGAGAATTCTCTCCTAGTCATTTTTGACAAAATTTGGTCAATGACCCTGTACTATAGTACAGGGATTTTCGCTCGATTTTTGAGTAACTTCAAAAATTCATAAAAAATCTAATTTTGATTGGAATCAGCTGACACTTGCTACACAACATAAGAACATGTATATGAATCAGAAAAAATTATAAAAATGGAGGATTCTCTCCTTGTCACTTTCGGTGAAATTTGACCAAGCACCCTGTACTAGTACAGGGATTTTGCACAATTTCGGAGGAACTTTAAAATTAAAAAAAAAACAATTTTGATTAGAATCAGTTCAAACTTTCTATGCAACATAAAAACATGCATATGCATCAGAAAAATTCATAAAAATTGAGGATTCTCTCCTTTTCAATTTTGGTGAAATTTGGCACAAGACCATGTACTATAGTACAGGGACTTTGGGCCAATTTTAGGGCAACTTTAAAAAATTCATTAAAAAATCCAATTTTGATCTGGATCAGCTCAATTAAACTTTCTACACAACACAAGCACATGAATATTATGCATCAGAAAAAATCATAAAAATGGAGAATTCTCATCAAGCCTATTTCAACAAAATACCCTGTACTACAGTACAAGGTACATGTACATGTATTAGGCTGCAAGAGTAAACCCTATAAAAAACCCTGTACTGTAAATACCTGTGGGTCAGAACGATACCCTCCAGACCCCCCGTCACTCTTTTGCTGTCCATAGCCGACATTCTGAGGGGCGGAGCCTCCAGTAGGTCCTCCTCCTCCCCCTCCTTGATTATATTGGGAAGGAGGAGGGTTGCCATAGCTGCCTCCTTGATTGGACGACTGATATCCATAGCCATCTTGAGAAGTGGGAGGCGGGGGTTGACCCTGTGAATATGAGCCATAGCCTAAAGAAAAAAAAAGAGATATTTCTTTAATACTAAATACATGTAAAAACAACTAAAGTAAAAACAAGCGTATTAGTGTAAAAATATTCCTATAATTGTTTTCACCACCTTGCAAGTACAACTGGGTTCTTATTAAGACTTATAAAGGTTCTTTCTACCTTCTAATGCTTCTAGAGAAGTCTTTAGACAGTATCTCTATGTTCTTTTGCTGTTAGAAAGCTCATAACTTTGTCCCATGTGCAAGCCGCCATCTTGTTTGCCGTGACCACACCCACTTACGTAGCGTGGGCGGGTGGTTGCTAAGGCTTGTTATTTCTCCAATACAACATGTATAGAAGAAATGTAAGTGTTGACATACAAATATATATATATCGCACGTGGGTAAAATCAATTATAGGAACGACCTGGGGGCTTCGCCCCCAGGTCGTAATAAAGGCAGGTCAAAAACTCAACACTACATACATGTACATGCACATGTAGTTCTGTTCAATTATTAATCTCTCACGCCCACATTCATTAAAAAAAATCCTTGACTCAAGCTCAAAGGAATGATGTAAACGCCAACTTGAGCAGTTCTCTGGTTTAAAAGATCTCCATGTTGATAGAAGAAGATGAAAGAAGAAGAAAAAGTCTGAAGAATTTTGCAGAAATTTGATTTTGGGCCTATTCTCCAGAAATGCTCTCGCTACATTACAGTCCAATTTAAAGGTACCAGGAGAATCGCTCAGTGAAGGAGAGCTCATCTAAGCCATTTATAAGGCTGTACAACGTAGGATAAAAGAGTTATTAGTGTTGGAAAATCATAAAAACGGCCGCCATCTTGAAAAATCCACCTGAATCCTACATAATACTTAGAAGAAATAACAGGGAGAGAATACCTTGTTTGTCATAAGATGAACCACCTCCAGAATAACTAAAAATAAAAATAGAGAAATACATGAAAATTTGATGAATAATATTTGTAAGTAATCTACTGTATAGCGGGAAATTTTGGAGCGAGTTAAATTTGGCGAAATGCAAAATTTTGGTGACTGGTGAATTTTAATTTGGCAAATTAGTGGCCACGTGCCATTGAGCATGCGTATAATGGCTCAAAATGGCGGATTCTATTTTGACGAATGGCTATCAAAATGCCAAATTGGCCATTCCCTCAGGAATTTCCCGTTATACTGTAAGATCATTAACAATTTAACACATGGACATTTAAAATGACAGACCAAAGCAGCTACCATTCTACACTTCAGTACAAATCATATAAAAAGATTATACTGAAACTATGAGCTATACAAGTTGCCCAAGGTAGTATACAGTGAAACCTGCTATTGTGGACACTCTAAAATAAGGACACTTCTATAATCAGGACAGGTACCAGTCCCAATACAATAGTAATGTGTATTAATGAACCTCTGAAATAAGGACACCTCTTTAAGGACAGTTTTATTGGGTCCCAAGGTGTCCGGAATAGACAGGTTTGACTGCAGTGGGAAATTTCAGAGGGAATTAAACT